AGCTTTTCATTGCTTCCCATAGGGCTGCCGGGTTTCCAGGAGAAATGACCTCTAACGACGCAACGACAGCATCTTTTGCTTTAGATACGCGAACATTTTTAGTTCGCGTGCTTAGTTGCTCCCAACTCTTTTTCGGTTGATTCACAGTTTCCCTGCCACATACACTTAGAAATTCATTCAGCTTTAAGCGACGAAGCGTTTGGTTTTCGATTGATGAATCATTCGCGCTACCGCTACTGCGGCCGGTACTTTCTGTAACGTAAGGGCTATTGTCGAACGAAACAAGTTCGAGGTTTTTCATGGCTTGACTTAAACCAGAGGTACTTTCAATGTCCTGAAATATAAAAGAGAAAAGAAGAAGAAAAGAGTAAGCCAAATTAAGAAAGAATACTAAAATAATATAAGGGGTTAAGAAGCTATAAGCGACTATCACAGTAATACAAAATAATGACAATGATGATGATTGGGCCGATGATAATGATGGAGGTGATGAAAACTGTAGCTTTTATTTTAAAAAAGATTTAGTCATCGATTTAATTCTACATGTTTGAACTGCAAAACAAAGTGCAGATCTAATTTAAAACAATCCTCCCTCCATCTGTTTCTTTTTATGCATGTTTTTTTTTCGTTGAGGTCCCAAGAAGGAGTCATTTGAAAACTGTTTCAATTCCAAACTTGTCTCTGATTCTGATGATAATAACATATTACCGAGTCAGTTTCGTCAGTTTCGACAACTGACAGGACCTTTGCCTTTGCTTGTTGGACTTTGAAAGGGACATCCTCTTTTGTAATGGACGGTGATGAAGCAAATGATGTGCGGACGTCTCGTTTCTCTTTTGCGATTGGCGAGAGGAAATCTTCTTTTGTTTCAGACGGGGATGAAGGTGCCTCTGATGCAAGCACCAGCCGACTTTTTTTACAAATGGCTAAAATTAAAACAGGAAAATGACAACTCATGAGTACATTTCCCATCTTCTTTATTCAGCCATTCCATTTCAGCCTTCGTGAGATAATACAGTGGAATCTCCATAATCACGGCAAATTTGGTTGGTGTCTGTAACACAGCGAATTTGGTTTTAATCACTGATTTAGACATGCATTTGATCCCCATCGAGTTAGGATTTGGTCATAAAGCTTTTTGTTCATGGCAGCTAATTGTTTCTAAATTTTAAGTACCAGTCCCCAGCCTGCGCCACAGACGAGACTTGACATCTACCCCAGGGACTAGAGGATTGAGCAATTCTTAGCATTATCTTTATTACTTACGAGCCACAACTGGAACAAGCACTGAAGTGAGCCTAAAGATCCTTTTACATTGTGGTAGGGTGATACCCCGATCTCCCTTGAATTGTTTACTCTTATGCGCAGCCCAGTCTTTTGGAGCCGAACATGTTCTTTTGCCGCTACGCCATCGTATACCAAAGGCGTCTCGATGTCGTGGACAAATCAACATTTTAATATGATTATCATTGACTTCGAAAATCCCTGAAACAAAATGTATAAAGAAGCCGCAGTGAATTTATGTAGCAATCCTGTAGGAATCGAAAAATGTGTTAGATGTTATTATCAAAAGTTAATAAGTCAAATTCCGGAACTACGTTGCTGCCTTTGAGAGGTCTTTCGAGTTGCAGTGCCACGCATAAACAAATTAATATTAATGAATAAAATAAGATAAAACGAATGACGTATAATAACAAGCAGTAAAAGTGCATCAACTTGATCAACTCACCGGAAAGGCTTTATTTATTTACAGTGTAAATCAGTTACCTGCTCTAGCGAGAAGAAGATCTGCTTCCGTTTTCAGGGACGAATCAAAGCAGTCATTTTGGTTTAAGTGAGACTTGACGTCTTTTGTGCATTTGTCTATATTGCTACACACGTTGCATCTGCAGGATTTGAAGGGCTAGCCCCACAGGGCCCTCCAACAAACGTGGAATATCCACACGATGCCATACGTCAACGAGTGTTAGCTTCAACTCGGAAGCAAGGTGGCTTTGGTACTGGCTCTAAGAATTACTCAACTATCACACGTTTACTTTGAAACATTTTTCAGGGTGGAGGTTTTCTTATCTGATTTATCTGAAAGCATTTTAGACTTAAAGTAAATATTTCAAGATCAGCAGACGAGATAACCCAAGATAGCAGACAACAATCTCGTTCCCAGGTTCTCTCTCCTATGGTCCTGGTGCTATATATTTTTTGGGCTTCTAAAGTTTCGCAATCAGTCCGTTTTACTTTTGATCAGCCCCCTGATGTATAATTTTCACTTTGATCATTGTTTAGTTTCAGGGAGGGTTTAGTGCATTGTGCATCATAAATCTGACTCACTCCACACCCATGCGGCCGACATTCCTCCCCCCAGTCCCCACAGATAAAAGTGTGTAACGCATTGTCTTTTTGCTCCGGAACAGATGTGAAGAGACCGTGTATTTAGCAGTTTAATTTCCAATACCACTTCAGCTTTTGACAGATAAGTAATATATTTAGTCATATATCCTTATGTAAGCTGACGTGGGCTTAATTGTTCTTTTTAAATGTGCAATGGATAGTCAGTATTAAAACGTGTTGATCTGTGCCGTTCACACGCACGGCTGTTAACTCATTGAACAGCAAACGGATTTTGACTGTTAACGGGTTCATTTAAGTAAAAAATTGGCGAAACAGATGCAAATAAGTCGAAAATAATAAGTATTGTTCCGTTGCAAAGAGATCTGGGGGATTTTGGCCATTCTTTGTCCCAAAGAGCATTTTTGTTGATTTAACACCTTGGAAAACCGTGACAAGTGGCTTGAATTTGACCTCAAGGGCAACTTTCATTTGGCGCTAGAATATTTTCCCCGTTGGATTGCCCAAAAATTTTATTGCATTAATTTGAGGAAGACACCTTGCTCTTTCTATCTGTAGGAAAGTTATGCCTCAAAGCCGTATACCAAGAAGTGATTTTTGAGTCTGAATTTTGTCAATATTTTGTCTGTCAAAAATCAGCAAATTAAGTAAAATAATTAAAAATCTTAAAAAATATCCAGTTTGTTGTCGAATAGGAAAATTTCACATTGAAAATATTATTTAATTTGCACTCTTACTATTAAGGTAATCAGAAGCAGAGTTTATTTCTTCTTTAATTTTTAAACGATTTTTAAGTAATGCACTGTCTTTAGCCTGTGAAACCCAACCTGTGAGCCCACGAACAGACTCGGTCGCCGCACGCGTAAAAGAAAAATCTAATCGAACTAAAAGTTATTTTTCTAAAAATAGTTTACCTAGAGCTATATTCTGACAAAGTTTGGTGATTTTCGATTTCTTTATTTTGCACGCCCCCGAGCGATATTTACAGACGGCCGCTCTTAAGCTCTGCATTTTCCTCCAAAAGTTTATTTCCCTTCACCTTCAACTTTTTGACAAAGTCAAACAACTGTGAACAATTACGTTCTGTCGAAAGTTTAAACAAGTAGAAAAGTTTGTAGGCTAACGATGAGTTTGACAGAGCTGATTCATCGAGATGATTTTGTCGGGAAAATCACGTTTCAACAATAGTTTCCACAGAAAGTTTGATATGCAAATAATTTGGTTTGCGTGGCTACATGTTTGTCTCAACCTCAAGATATCTGAAACGTCCAAAAAAAGCAGCAACCTCCCAAAAAAATATCCTCTGGTTACTGGAAAAGTGAGGCGATTTCGGACAAATTCCTCCTGAACAGTGCAAGCTTTCGGTTTTATCAAGCTATGGGCGCGTTGTTTAGAAAAGGTTTTCCCCTTGAGTTCGCTATCTTGAAGTATTTCCGATTTGTCGATCTACTTTCTCGCCACCGAGTCAAACTGCACCGGCACGAAGCACAAAATGTTAACGATTCCTCACCAAGCACTACTGTCTCTTTAATGTTAACACATGCATATACGTCTTCGTGAAGCTCCTCTGATAGACAACAGATCGGAGTTGCCCATATATGAAGGCGATGGCAGAACATTATTTCTTATGTTCATTTGTATAAGTAAGAACATAGTTCATTACCTGGATCACTGCAGCCAGAACTGGTTTGATGTTGTATCTGTAGACCTTGTCATTGTTTTTGATGCCATCTTGACGAGTAGGCAAACCCGTGAGAAATTACAGTGTTTGTATGAGAATCTAATGTCGAATAAATTCCATAAAACAGCTGTTTTAAAAAATATATGAACTGTAAACTAAAGCTTCTCTCTTAAGGATTCTACTGAAAAAAATGGAGGGTGTTACATGCACTAGAAGACCTAGAACCTTTTTTGAAAATTTTCTATACATTTGTCTGTAAAAATGTTGCAGGGAAAAAATTGCCGACAAATATTTGGAAAACTAAAGCAAGCTTCTGGGGAAATTTAAGCACAGTAACGGCCCCCAAAATTTGTTGGTAAAATCCTTTGCTGTGTAGCTTTAGTTCACAGTTCATATTTATTCCAGAACAGCCGTTTTACGAATTGCAAGTTATTTACAAATTACAGATGGTTAGCTACCTCAAGAGAGTGGTTCTCACCTCGCTTAAACTAGCAGATTGTGCAGCAGCATCGTGGTGATCAGCCGCCATCTTTGTCACACGGACGTGAACACGTCTGTTGTCATCTGGTTTGTCGGGAGCGGAGAAGGTCTCCCGAGTCCACTCCACTGGGAAGTCTCTTGACCGACTCTCGACCACCATTTGAGCAGGGGTAGGTCAGGTCAATTGAGCCCACGATGTCCATCGGTTGATGCCCAGCGGGTAAAAGTC